ATTTCGTTCTGATTTTAAAATATAACTCCTTTATAAAAAGGTCACCCTATTTATTTTTTATATGTGGCGGTGTAATAGAATCTTAAGAGGTAACGCTCTACTTAAACCATCTCGATAGTATAACCCGCTCGATTAGACCATCGTGCAGGTAAAGAATACGATTGAGTTAAGTGATAACTTCACCTTCATGCATTTCGTTCTGATTTTAAAATATAACTCCTTTATAAAAAGGTCACCCTATTTATTTTTTATATGTGGCGGTGTAATAGAATCTTAAGAGGTAACGCTCTACTTAAACCATCTCGATAGTATAACCCGCTCGATTAAACCATCGTGCAGGTAAAGAATACGATTGAGTTAAGTGATAACTTCACCTTCATGCATTTCGTTCTGCTTTTAAAATATAGCTCCTTTATAAAAAGGTCAGCCTATTTATTTTATATGTGGCGGTGTAATAGAATCGTTAAAGGTAACGCTCTACTTAAACCAGCTCGATAGTATAACCCGTTCGATTAAACCATCGTGCAGGTAAATAATACGATTGATTTAAATGATAACTTCACCTTCATGCATTTCGTTCTGCTTTTAAAATATAGTTCCTTTATAAAAAGGTCAGCCTATTTATTTTTTATATGTGGCGGTGTAATAGAATCGTAAAAGGTAACGCTCTACTTAAACCATCTCGATAGTATAACCATACGATTGAGTTAAGTGATAACTTCACTCTCTAAATAGCAATTGTCGTGATATCGTTTTTTTTAAACTGAATTGTCAAACCAAATCACAGTCCACCTGATGGTAAGTGGCTTTTGCAATCCATGGACACCTGCAGTCAACTTCAAACAAAGAAGCCTACAGATGTGTTTTCACCTCTGAGGACTAAGATGTAATGCTTCACAGCCTGTAATAATATTGGCTCTCTATACCCTTCAAACCAAAACACAGAAGTGCAAGAACTGCTATTTGGCGGGAGAAATTGATAAGAGGGTTGCAGTAGTAGTAAGGCAGAGACTCCTATACAAAAAAGATGTCCAACTACCTAGTAAGCTAAACGAATACAATTTTTATCTTAAAATGATAGGCCGTCATTTTATGTTATTACTTTACTACTCTAATTTTTTTCTAAAATAAGTTGCCTCAGTTACTATTTATAGCATTAGCTATCTGCCCGAAAGATGAAAGTCTGCCGCCAAAATCGGTCCAGCCATGTCGAAGATTAGCCGGAACAAACAAACCGACAGACAAAAATTAAAAAAAAAATTGTGTTTTTGTTATAAGTACCGTAATTTTCATATATGTATATGCATTTAGTAAAAAGCTATTATTTTGACATTACAAACAGATACTTCAATTTCATTTACGTGTATAGTTACGTACAGATTATTTGTGTTTTAGGGTAAGGCAAAAAAAATCTAATAACAATTTAAACAAAAGGATTTTATAGTTAGCTATTAGTTCGTTATTTGTTTTGTTTTAGTGTTGTTTTCTACCCCAATTGGTATTGATCACAGAATTTTACAATAGTATAATTACAACATTTACGTGACGATGACACTCAGGCTGCATGAATGCCATAATTTCAGGCATGCGTACGTTCCAAGTTACTATAATAGCTTAAAATAATTGGTAGACTATATTTTGCCACGCTTTTGTCTCCAATTTCTCTGAACCCTGAAATATTTCCTTTAATAAACCCACAATTCCGGACGATAAATCAAAAAATATTGTCAATAAAAATATAAATCCAATGCCAGAGTCAGCAACTTTCGAAGTAAAGAGCAATAAACTTATTCGAATTTTCAGCTTTCGTGTTAGACAGAAAAAGATGTATGGTGTTACTGCAGTGCAGAAGCGAGCAGTATATACACCATATTTCGTAAATCGTGTGACTAACGCCTATTACTTTCGTAAGCATCTAAATTTCGATACGAAAAGCGATATTTAGGCGTTTCAAATTGTCACACCATCCATCTAAATATGGACTGTTGATTGTATAGTTACGGTTGTATTTTAATTAGCATTATACAGTGTGATCCGTTTTTCGTACAAGTCGGACAAATATACAGTTACGCTGATATAAATTATAATGTTAAAAGATTTTGTTACTAAATTATGAACAAATTTTTTTAGAACTAAGCTAATTTTATGATAATTTTGTTTATATGTATATATTAAAATCAACACATTTTCGTGCAGTACGTAGCGTTTTGCAGTAGGTATAAGGATACCAACTAGGTATCCCATACCGTCCCATGGGTTTCGTGAGAGACGACAGAGGGAAACTAGCTAGGAGATGGACAGCAGCGTCTTCCTAATAATAACTAGAACATAAAAAACTGCGGTTGCCAACCCGGATGCCAAGCGTGGTAACTATGGCAAATATACCCCTTAAGAGGCAATCTATGTGAAATCCTAATTTGATAGACTGTAAAGAACTGATGAATGAAATTAAAATTAACACGCAATTCTTCGAGCTAATTTAAAACTGGGAGCTTAGTTACCACAACTGACAGCGACAGCGAACGCTTTCTCGATTAATTATTGACCTACAACTACGTGATTAATAGTAGTTGGTAAGTGCCACCCATGAACAACTGGAAGGGGACAACTCCAAGGGGAATTGCAGGTGCGTTATCGACCATTTTAAAAAAGAGTAGTCGTGAAGATCTCTTGAAGGAGAGTTTTATTGAAGAGAGTGGACGTCAGTTCGTCAGTAAGTCCGGAAAAAAATCGATGGCAGTAGTAGAAGCTGTACGAGGAAGAAAACTGGTAGAGACACGCTGCAACTTTATTATGGTTGCAGCACAATGGGTCGGCTTGACTGGGGAAGGGCCACGCATGAAGGGCCATGCTCTCACAAAATACCAGCGTAAAATAACGCCGTAATGCTGCTGTGTTACGTATGGTGAGTGAAGAGAACTGAAAAGTATATAAAGTAGCCCTCTGGTATGCCAAGGCGTTCAGGGTTGTCACTGACAACACATCTACGTTTTGATTCTTAATCGAAAATACCACAGCACCCACTTACCATCAGGTAGACTGTGTGCTAGTTTATGATCCTTATTCTATAAAAAAATATCACGAAAACCTCATTGATTTTCCTCACAAGAATAATCGCTCGCAGTTGTAATGCAACTCCGAAAGTCAGCGTGCTTATATTCTCTCTCTCGTTTCATTGACTTTGTTTTTACTAGATAGTTTCTGTCAAATTTAAATATATAGTACGTATCAGCTTCGCACGGGTGATTTCTATATCTCGACAACAGCGCCACCTACCGGGTCCAATTATGAATCTAAACCATTCCGACACACATACACACATACACACACATACACACACACACACACACACACACACACACACACACACACACACACACACACACACACACACACACACACACACACACACACACACAATTACATCAAAATCGATCCAGCCGTTTAGGAAGAGTTCAGTCACATACACATGGACAGAAGAAATATATATATAAAGATAATAAAACATTTGGCAATATCACCAAAGCACTCCATGACCGCCTAATACAAAAATGTTTTTTGGGTAAGTGTGTACTGCAATTCATTAAGGTCAAGCATGGAGTCGTAAAAATATTAACCCCATAAATGGGTCGAGAATAACCATGTTGCACCTTTTTAAAAATAACGTGTAGCTTATATGGTCCTGGTGCATTATGGTATTTAATTTAATAATGCATAACCAACATACAATGATTATGTTTTATTTACGTGAATCACATTGAAAATCGCATTAAATTTTAATTCTTTTTACACTACCGCAGTGTTTAATCCTCTGCAGCACTTTACGTGGATCAGAGCAAACATTTATCAAGGCCGTACATTTACAAAGCCTATTAAGTGTCCTTGCCCCATGTAAAAAATTTAAAGTATGTGGATGTCCGCTTTGGGCTCACAAGTCCGTTTGCCTGACGTGGTGAGCGTGGGCAAAACTTTCAACGTTCAAGATATGCATGTTATTTGTACCTAATCTGCGATAAGCCTACAATATCGTTACAAAACTGTAACTATACTGGGTATGTATAATCTTTAAGACCGGAACACAACACAGTTTAAGTTTTATGGTGAAAAATAATATAATTTGAAATGGCGGCAAATCGATCGAAGTTTCTTTCCTACACAGTTGTTTGTTTCTTTTGGTAATAGACTCGTACGGTTGTACTTTTGCCAGTTTTTAGTAATAACAAATATTGTCATTTAAAAATAACAATCATAATTAAAAATAATAAAAATAAAATATAATATTATTATTTAAAAACTTCTTCGCAATATGTTCGCGTCACATTGAGATTTTGATGATAACATCTTAGGTCCCTAAGCGGATAAAAAAATCATGAGATATACATATATTATCACCATCGAAGCACTTGTTATATCGCTTCCAATAAGTTCACACGCGGAGATATTTAATACACAAAATCGCACCACTTATACTTATTAAAACCCACATGGAGCCATAATAAAACGATAAAACAGGAGCAGCATTCCACCGGCGGTCAAGTTCCCGCCAAAAATCCTCTTTCCTACTTATTAAACACATTCTAAATTATAGATTTCACCGTGTAGTGGCGGTGTTTGAATATCTACTACCCCATATCAACCCGTGGGTGATACAAATCAGGAGATGGGTAGCAGCGTCTTCCTAATAACGACTAAAATAAAATGCTGCGGTTGCCAACCCGCTTGCCAAGCGTGGCAACTATGGCAAATATCCGCCCTATGAGGCAATCTATGGGGGAGGCCTATTTTCAGCAGTGGACTTTAGTAAGCTGTAACGGCAAATTATAGTTTAGAAAAAAAGGGGGAAAAACGACTATTTAAATTGTAATATTCGGCCATATATATGGTCAGACAATGCGTATAATGTGTATGGCGCATGACTGTGAACTGTTAGTGAAACATAGCCATTCAGAACAAGTCGCATCACTAAAGTATAAAATAAATAAAACAAAGAAGTTTATTACATCGGCTTCCGGCACGATGAACTCCTCGGCCGTGATGTTGACGAATCGGATAGAGCCGGATTTGTCGACCGCCTCCTCGGGGATCTCCTTTATGGTGACGTTCACTGTTGCCTCCACCCAGTGGAACGGGACTAGAGGCTCATTTTCTTCGGTGACCTAAAAATAGTTTAATATTATAAAAATGTTGCTGAAGTAAAATAAAATGTGCAATGTGCAGTGCAAGTGTTGAAAAAATTAATAAATGCGATAAGTGGCTGGTCTACCTACATTGTTAACGACATCTGTACAATTTACATAGTATATAAAAATATAAATAATTTACTTTCGGGTTTAACTAATTTAGTTTTTAGATTGTAAATAATATAGCACGAAACGAAATTACAAAATAGTTAGTAGATGATATATATACCTAATACCTAATAGGTAAACTATTTCTCAAGTATTATATTTTTAATCCTAATTTTATTTTATTTTTGTAATAAGTACACGCAATTTTTTAATCCCATAAAATTTCCATAGATTTTTCGTCGTTGTATAAAAAAACTGTACCTATATGTAACTCGTTCCGTAAGCATCGTAAGCAAATTAGGGAAAGACCCAGAAAATTTGGTATTTTCCGATACATTGCGGATGATTATCTCATATTTTATACCATATATAAAATCCTTCAAAAGGAGAGAGACCCATGTCCAGCAATGCTAACGAGAAGAGGACGAGAGGTAAGAGGATTTCACGTTATAATGTTGTGATTTTGAATCATATTAAAAACTGCACATATAGCTTGTAGAAAACAAACATACAATATACAAGTATTTAACGAGAAATAACGAATTCGCACGGCTAATAATAATATAAATTTATATTTGCTGAGCGAATTAAAAATAAAATACAGGAAGCAATCTAGGAGAGGCATTACAGCGTAAATGAATTCTTAACGAGAAAGTTTTTAATTTCCCAGCGTAAAACATCCTCGGAACAATATTTTTATTAAGACCGGGCAACTACAGCGTGGTTAAAACACGAGCAAACAAAATGACGACTAAGGCAGTAAATACAAAACATTATATTATTTAGTTTAACCGCAAGTTGAAACCCAGGAGAAACATCGCAGACGCGAGTAGTCCGACCAACTTTTTCTTGTTGAAATAAATCTTTCGCTAAGTAAAGATAACGGTTATTGCTCTTCCACTTTAAAATGCTCCCTTATCGTTTGTGGAATTTTTTCATAGTCAATATTTCTTCGTTAAGTTCGGTTATGAAAACATAATATCATTAGATCAGAAAAACTTAGAGTACAGATAACGATAGTTAAGTAACACCTCTTTATTTCATGTTAAATTCATATTAATGAACATATTATGAACATATGTATTTTTAATATTTTGCCGTCGATAGAAAAGGGGAGAAACCTCCCGCCAACCAAGGTGTTCAGTCCGGGGACTGTGAGCGACCAATACTCCGAATGGTATTTTAATTTCAATTATCGATTTATATGTCGAGTTGTTCGAAAATCAGCAATTTTGTTATTTAAGATTAAGTTGTTGTCCGGTACTCGGAAGCATTAAATATTTGAAAGTTAGAAATAAGTAATAACAAGTAATAAGGAATTGGGAATTCTCAAATGATATTTCTATTTAATCAAGGATAAGCAGGGCTTATCTGCAATTAAAATGAAATATGCTTTTCCTTAGCTTTGCGAAAAACATTAGTCGTAAATATTTAATGAAATTTTGTGACATAAAATACTTACGTTAAATCGCAGCAGATATGAGCCATTAGGGGTTCCTTCTTTCATAGTTATCATGCCTGTGTTGCTGTGCACGTCAAAGTACGGACTCCTCTGCTCATAGGAAGGCAGCCACATGAACCTCTTGTCCGGCAAATCCCAATCGTCCGGATCGTCTACGAACACACGTCCGATTTCTGTGTCCGGTGCCTCGCCCTAATAAAAAGAAAAAGTTTGTCACCAATCTTAAACCGAAAAACACACCATATTAAGATTTTAGAACAGTTCACACTATTATAATATATAATATGTTATATTTAACACCTATTAATAACCTTACAGAGAGACTTTATTATGTCTGTGACCGAATCTTTCAAGTGTGCTATTGCAATGAGCCAGCAATGAGGGCTTATAATTTTCTGCTCACCAGATGTCGCTAGTTGACACTGAAGTAAAGTTTTAGTTACTCAATGTAATTTATTTGAGAAGTTGGTTTTTAATAAAAGTTTATCAGTTTCTGGAGTTATTGTATTAATACACAAAACAATGCGTCAGTGGTTTGCTCTTTAATTTTTTGCATATTTTTAACATTTTTTTATGTTTCAACTTTTATGAATATCTGTGGTTTAGTTTATTTATTTTTAATCTTATCAATATAAAATATAGCCAATAGTAGAGAAAGAAACAATAACCTTTACATTTTCCGAACAAATTAACTTCCCCGATATGAAATCTGTCAAATATTATACCTCACTTTCCAGTGGCGCCGCTCTGGTGGCAAAAAAAGTCGTGAATTTAAAATAAATTCCCCTCATTAATATAATTGGCAAATTGTAGAAAATCATTTTAAGCAAATAAGGAGAATGTGTATATCAGCAAAATTTTCCGTTAATAAAAGTGCAATTAACGGTCACAATATATTATTAAGTGGCGAAGCTTGCGAAGTCACTTATTGATTTCACGATGTCTGTCCGTCTGTCCGTCTGTCCCACGATTATCTCTAGAACGGTTTCGAATTTTCAAATTCTGTTTTCAGCAATCGATTACTGATCACCCAGGCATCTGAACCTCCTATCTTGAAACTGATTGCTCAACGGCAACCGTTAGAAACCGCTACAGAGCTGATTGCTTCGCCACTTTGCTATGCTGTTAGCTTGCTAGGTTTATTGATTTCACGATGTCTGTCCGTCTGTCCGTCTGTCCCACGATTATCTCGAGAACGGTTTCGAATTTTCAAATTCTGTTTTCAGCAATCGATTACTGATCACCCAGGCATATGAACCTCCTATTTATAAAATGTATTTCTGTACAATATCTACTCACAGGTATTTTAAGTGTTACGTAAAAGAAAAGCTAATAAAAAAGACACACTGCCAACTCAAATACAATCAACAAGGAGGTAGTATAAATATATTTCGTAGATAGCAACACTAATCTCTACTGGAACTTGTTCAATTAGGGCGCGCGAAGGGGTCCTGTGTCGTTTGCGGCAGTGTCTCCGGTTCATTAAGACTGCCAGTTTGAGCAACTCGACAACGAATTAGAGAGCGCTGTGCTGAGGAACAGGACCATCCGGGCTCATTTGTATTCAATTTCGGATTATCTAAATGCCGTTAGTAGATAAACAAAACGCCCTGTGCTTATGAAAGTCATATCTGAGAATTTGCACGCGTTGGTAAACGGTCGTATAATCTTAAATATGTACAAATATATTGTAATTTAATTTCATTGTTTAAAGGTATAATACAAGTATGTTGAATATCACGATTTTACAGAGTTTTTAACCCCTGAAGAAAACAGAGGGCGGGGGTGGGGGGGGTATGTTTGTAGTGTGTACGAGTATCTGTGTCTGTCTGTGACATCATAGCTCCTGAACGAATGAACCGATTTTGATTAAGTTTTTTTCGTTTGAAAGGTGTCTTAATTAGAAAGTGTTCTTAACTATATTTCAAAAAAAATCTGTCAGCCGCTTGAAGTTCACCAGCTCTTTTAGTTTGGGTGGTTTTTTAAAAATCTAAGTTATACTATTTATTTTATGTCATTTTAAATTTACACCTTTTTGAGCCCTTTGCAACGCACTTGGTTTTTTGGGGATTGAGGTGTTTCACATCCTGCTTTCTTACACTTTTTCCTTTTTATACATTTTTGTAGAAAAAGAGCATCGTCTTAAGAGTCAAGAGCTCGCTTTAGGTTTAAAAGAGCGTAGGTAATCTGATATCACTGAAATTGTAAATGTAATTTTATGCGCTGATTTACCATCTGTTAACCGGAAAGAGTTTTGGCCAAACTTTAACGTAACCTTTTAAAGAAGTTATTAAACTTATACGGAAAAAATATAATATATTTTTAATATATTATTGACAATTAAGTAATAGTCCACCTAAAGGACAAAGACAGAAGGTCAAAATTCAAACAATGAAAGCCATAAACCATAGATGGCTGTACTGGCTCTCTTATCCTGCAAACCGAAAGGAGGCCAAACTAGCAGGATTAGCGAAGATGACTTTCTACCATCGCTAATGTTAATAAAAAACTATTAAAATTATTGGGAATGACATAATATCTCAACGTTAAGTTACATGACTTACTTTTACGTCGAATTCATTTTTACGGAGTTAGACAAATTAATTGAAGGAAGCCAAGTAAGGTAGCCCAACTAGGCAGAAAACGAACCCTTCCACCTATAAATAGAGAGCTGATAGTGCATAATATTTTTAATTTGCCCCTTAATATTTTTACTGTAGCTTTTAGTCTCTTAAACGACTGGCGTGAAATTTTGTTGTACCAAAAACGCCAGTTAATTCCATGGCGAGTTACTCAAAGATACCGCGTCTACTAGAACATTACCGCAGTGTCGCTGTAACTCAGACGAATCAGGCCAAGGTCGTAAAAACTACCTTCCCACAATAATCCCTGTTTATACTCGCTCACCGCACTAAACCCACTTTCATTAAGGCGCAAAATTAACATTTTAATAGTCACATATTATTAAAGACAAGCCCATTATTGCACGGTATTGCAACATCAAGTGCGAAAGTTTGTGGATAAATTTAATTATATACTTATTTAAAAGTAAAATTAAGTAAAGCCTAGGACTAGAATTTAACCTATCCATCATGAAGTACATTTCGAAAACGAAAAACTTTCACAATTTTGATAATAATCCATTTTAATAAGAGTAAGCAACCAGAGCATTATCTGTGTATTTTCAAAAGATCCTGTATTTTATGAAAGAAGTTCTGGGTCTGGATTCAATTTCCGTATTTTTCACTGTACAGGCGAAGCCCCTAGTCTGTGTGTAGGTATGGGGGGGGGGGGGAGATAATGTATTTTAAAACAAAAGGACGACGCACGTTACAATTTTTAAAGAAATTGTCTGTCTGACTGTCTGTCTGTCCGTCTGTCTGTCTGTTTGTTCCGGCTAATCTCCGAAACGGCTGGACCAATTTTGACGGGATTTTCACTGGCAGATAGCTGATGATACAAGGAGTAACTTAGGCTACTTTTAAAAGAAAAAGAAAAGAATTAGGGTTCCGCGCTAAATAATTAAAACCCCAAATATCACGCGCAAAATAAAATCATAGAACAATTTTGCATGACTTAAAAACAATTAATTTGATAAACTGCGCCTCCACGTGAATGTTGACTCTATAGAAACTTAGTGATAGGCGTAACCCATTGCATGATTGGTCAGTTAACAAGATAAGCGACAATAGATTATGATTTTCACAATCAGTAATCAATAGATTATGATTTTCACAATCAGTAATCAATAGATTATGATTTTCACAATCAGTAATCAATAGATTATGATTTTCACAATCAGTAATCAATAGATTATGATTTTCACAATCACAATCATTTCAAAAATTCAGATGCGATTTTAAATCGCATCTGAATTTTGATTCTTAATGAATTCACCCCTGAGGACCAAGATGGAATGCCTCGTTTCCAGTAAAAAGGGTCTCCGGCTCTCTACACTCACCATACGAAACACAGCAACATTAAGCGGCTATTTTACGCTGGTATTCTGTAAGAGCGTGGTCCTACCCCGGTTGAGCCGACCCATTCGTGTTACAACCATAATATAGCTGCAGCATGGTTGTACTACGTTGAAAAAGTGAGCGTTACTTCTACCGTATTACTTACTGTCTTCATGTCAGTCCAGTGCTTACTAGTTAGTCTACTTTAGTCGCTATGTTACTTCAAACCCGTGTTAGCGCCCGTGCCAGATAACTTTATCTAAGCACAGAAGTCAGTAAATGCCGTGACTCCATCATAAACAACGCAAATTCAAGCCCGTTACGGTGCTATTTGACTGATGTCAGTCACAGATTTTATGTAAATCTGCTTTAACGCGCAATATTTTACGACACTAGAGTGCACAGTGTATAAGGAAACATAAAGTTCTTAGACAGTAAAGCGTCTAATTCCGAAAAATAGTCGCGTCCAAAGAGAAAAATCGTAAAACTTTACGGTGGTTTATAAAGGCCACTGAGCGCGATGTCGCCAGTGTTGAAAAGACGCTTTTGTATTTCACACTTCGACAGTTACTTTAGTGAGCGCAAAGTTTCATTTTGGTGCAGTTAAAAATTCACTAAACCTAGTAAACGATAAGGTTTATAAAATGATTTCTCATTCAAAGTAATCTTATAATTAATTGTTTTTGTATAACTCTACCTTAGACGATGCAATCATAAAGCGTAACAAAATATTTCGATTTAAAAATACGAAATAACCTTATTCTATAACTATTAATATCAACATATTCAAAAACTTATTAAAGGCAATATCTTATAGATTTCTCAGAATACAAATTAGGTTAAAAAGCTTTTTTCAATTGTAATATGAAGATCATATGAATTGTAGAAAAAATGTGTAGAGTCCACCGTCGACCTTTCTCCAGTGCACTAGTCGTAAACTAACATGGGATATATGTAGATTAAGGCCCGCCACATACATACGGAATTTTGTTTCGGATTCCGTTTCGATATTCCGTTTCGATATTCCGATTCGGTATTCCGAACGCAACAAGTCCATATAAAGTATATGACCCGGTACACAAGTACGGTAGTTTTCCGTTCGAAATTTTGCGGGCAAAACGGGATTCCGTATGTGGCCGACCCGTTCGGAATTCCGAAATGGAATCCCGAAACGGAATTTCGTACGTATGTGGCCGGCTTTAAAAAACAAAAACCATTAAAAAAAGTTAAAAGAATTATAAAGGGCTTACAAATAAGTAATATGTTAAATGTTAAACAAATTGAACAAATATTTAATTTAACGATACAATAATTTTATTCGAAAAGAAATGTAAATGAAATGAAACGAGATAAAATCGTAATTGAATTTCGCGTTAATCGAGTGCGAGGCACAATAACTAGATTTCTGTAATTGCTGAACATTTATTAAAAATTTGTTGGTCTTAATTAATTATTTCACTAAAGCCATTTGTATCAATTATACAAAGGCATCATCGAGTTTGGGGTTGATTACATTTAAAAGATTAATGATAATATGTGACAAGTTAAAGGATATCTGGACTGACACAGAAAGCCCGCCAGAAAATATTACTTCACGTCTCTCACCTTATAAAACACAATAATGTTTTATTAAGTGCCTCTCTACTACCGGTTAGATCTACTTTACGAGGTAGAACCATACTGCAGCTATATTATGGTTGCAGCACGAATGTAACTCGACCGGGGTGCGACCGCGCTCTCACAGAATACCAGCGTAAAATGGCAGCTTAATGCTGCTGTGTTTCGTGTGATGAGCATAGAGAACCGGAGACCATTTACCAGAAGCAAAGCATTCTATTTGGTCTCCAGGGATGGCAGCGCATCTGCGTCTTAATCGAGAATAAACGTAGATGTTTATGAGCCACAGCGACCACTTACCATCATGTGGATTGTGCGCTCGTTTGTCACCACCCATATTCTATAAAAAGGACCCGTATCCAAAAGCGAATTTTATTAGCCGATGAAGAAAGAAGAAGAACAAGTATGTAGCAGTAGAAGTCGAAGAATTTCGCACTTAAGCGCTACACATTTTCATGTAGCCTAAAATAATGTTATGTAACCAATTGATTAAACAAAACAAAGAAATAGTAAAAAAGTAGGAATTTCGCAAACGCAAATCGTTTACTATTTCGCGATATTATTAAATTAAAATACGAGCTTCATAACAACTAGGGCAGATCCCAGAATTTAAGTCAATAACGAGCAATATCCGTCGAGAAAATCCATACAAAAAAATTAAATTGGGACGTACACTTAAGACAAAGCCGCGAAACTTTCTTATCGAATCAAAACACTCAAGTTTTAACGTAATCTTTTAAAGTAATTATAAACTTATACCATCCAGTACAATTTCACCCGGAAAAATAAAAGAGGCTTAAATGATACAAAACAAAAGGAACGATAGATAGTATAGAAATCAAATCACAGATTATACAGAAATTTGGAGAACTAGGAACTAAATTTTAATATTAAATACTCACATAGTAACGCCAGCTGTAAATTTCATTGAAGTTCAATTCCGTCTGATAGCGTTAAAGAAAATAGTTCATTATTAATACCAATTGTCAATTAACAAATAAATTTCACAGAACTGTTTTTCCGCTTAAGTTGCAATTTAAATTCATCCACATTTTTTCGATAAATTATTTTCACTTTAGAAAAGTTATTTTAGACGACGATATTTTTGTCATTCATTACATAACGCAAGTGTTTTAAAAGTATATTTCGAATTATCATTAATATTAATTCTATAATATTTGTACTCACTACATAAAATTTTATTTCTTAATCTTCTAATTTCATGAGATTCTTATGTTATTTTAAGGTAAGTAAATACAACTATATGATATCACAAAAACTACTTAAATAAACATAAATCTTGATTAAAAGTATTTTTAGTTTAATATGTGGCGGCGCTGCCGTCGCGCCACAAGCGAAACACAACGAAGCCTAAATCGCGCTAACAAAGTTCCGAAATTAAAGCAATATGTATAGAATAGCTCCGAACTACCAGTTGGAGCGTTGGCCGCTCCCCTGGCAGTACACCTTGCCCGGCGGGAGATCTCCCCTTTTCCTTCCACCGGCTACAAATATTTTGCAAGGCCTACATAGCGCACTTAAAGACAGTGCGTGTTGCGTAGTATTTTTTGTTGGAATAAGGGTGACAAACGAGCACACAGTCCACCTGATGGTACGTTGACACATAGACTACATCTACATTAATGTTCAATTAAGAATCAAAATGCAGATGCATTGTCACCCCTGAGGACTAAGATGGGATGCCTCGTTTCCAGTAAAAGCGTCTCAGGTTCCTACAATCACTATTCGTTCCACAACTATAATATAGCGTGGCTCTACCACGTATGCATTCGTAGCAGTGCATTTGTAAACTATTTGGTACGTGTTGCTAAGCGAAATATCAGTTTGCAGTCTTATTCTTAACATGTGTACGTTTTAAAGTATCGTGAGTACTATAATGATACATTCCAACGTCAAAATACCCTGAAACGTGAGACTGGAAAAGAACCGTCATGTCACGCTTAGTTCTTAGTTTTATGAACACTCAATGCCAAGGTTAGGTCGCTTTATACTGAGAACAAATAAAAGCAACATTGTCGTAATGTTTTAACGTCAATTTCTGGGTCTCGAGTCTCTTACAACAGAAACGGTATAATAATTCTAGTGCTTCATCGAGTGAAGCGCAGCAATTTATAGGACAGATTTAAGAAATTTATGTGCTGCACTAAAGAGTTTAAGACTACTGTAGTAAACAATTCCGAAGTAACGTAATGAATTTACAATGTACGTGAGCTGCTACTGGAACAAAATTCTTGTGGAATAACCGTACTGGATGGATAAGTGCGGTTAAATTTAGATGAATAAAGATTGGGAAATGAAAATACATAGAAATCTGTTTCCATTATCTCTGTAAAATATAACAATCAACTGCTGTCCGTTAGTCTCGCTAAAGCTCGAAAACGGCTCGAATGATTTTGATAATATTTTTATGTCCGTTTGAGTGAATGGTTTAGATTTACAATTGGACGCGGTAGTGTTGTTGTCGAGATCCAGAAATCACTCGTGCAAAGGCGTGGCGTAGTTGGTTTTAAAAAAAAATTGGCCCGGTAGAACCTTTTTATATAATCATTCCATTAAAATATATTTTTATTATTATATTTGTATATTATTAAACCACAATATCAGCTTGTGGAACACGAGTAAAAGTTTAGAATTAGATTAGTTAGAAAGCCCGTACAGCGCAGGGACAGGGACAGGGTACTCGTCACCGCAGTAGCACCGGAAATTATTAATTACAATTTTAAACGCGTTTAAGGAAAACGTGAGAAAACCTGCATTTATTATTAATAAATACTTATAGATATATTTCTAAGACATGAAATCTGTCTACATAAATAGCGGCCACGCAGAATGTTTTTTTTTTGTATTATAAGACGATGCTTCCAGTTTGCCAGTAATCATTTATTTTGAAAAACCCAGTACTCTTCTGTACTGTAATGTTCCAATTTAAAATTTCCTTCCACATACGAGTAAAATAGAGAAGCGCAGGGAAGATTTAGATAGTTTTTTTTTTTTTCAATTAAAAGGATTATTTAGTGTCAATTCCTATACGAAAGCAAAGTAGCATCAATGACAAACGGTTCTGTCATTACAACCAAAAAAAATTACAGTGCAAATGTCTATTACAATGCTCTATTTATTTATCATGAATTATACAAACATTAATCACCATTCATCATTTATTCTATAGATGCATTACCGCCATGCGGTCTCTCAACCCACAACACGTGTATAACGTTCGCGTTATCAAAACATAATTTCCTTGTCTACCCGCAAAATTAACTTGGTTATCGAAAATACATACTTATAAATAAAATATCAAGACCAGCGAGATAATCCATAATACTGATTCTATTAAACAAAACTTGTGCAAGTCTTGAAATATATATGTACGTATATACATTAACGTGCTAGATAATTTTAAAATGAAATGGTGCCAGTAGGTAGTAAAGCGCTGAAAAGTGTCCAACCTTTTTTTAATGGAATTTGTAATTATATTCCTTTACATAAAAGTAGGACAATGTAATTAACGGAAATAATACTATCAACAATGGTCATTTAATACTGGACAAAATACAATGAATAATAATTACCTTGTAATTATAAACAAATATATTGCTATGTCCGGGAGCCATTGGGTTGTCGTTTCGGTCGCCTATAACCACGTGAAGAATGGAGACTCCCGTCAGCCTTGGAGTTCCTGAATCTGTGATGGCGACTGGAATCTTGTACTCTTTGCGTTGCTCTCTGTCGAATGAGACTAAAGTTGATAGAATGTTGCCTGCGAACAAAACATTGCGTTAGAAATGCCATCACTCATTTTACATACTTTGCCATAATTGTTAAATATGATAAATATTGTTAAATATGATAAACGATATGTGCTGATTTAGAAGTTTCTCGGTGAAAGTAAATATTCGACCATCGGCCACAGGCTGGAACAACAAGTTTGTTTTTAAAAATCAAGTCGTCAAGTTTTTACTAATACAGCTCTTATTTTCATATACATAATGTATATTTCATATTAGTTCTGACATAGATAATATTTATATGTATTATGTATATATGTACTGTATGCATATGTATGTGGGTATGTATATATTTATATATTGTTTGTACTTAAGTATATATGTGTATGTATGTTTGTGTATATGTATATATCATTCATCATCATTACAGCCCTTCACAAGTCCACTGCTGAACATAGGCCTCCTAAAGGAATGCCACGAAGCACGGTCTTGAGCCACCTGCATCCATCGACTTCCTGCATATCTTACCAGTTCGTCACTCCATCTAGTGGGGGGACGCCCTACACTTCGTCCGCCGGTATATTTTTTCTTTTTTAAAAAACGTTACCACCCCACTAGGATTTTCTCCTGTATCGTGGAGGCAGTTTACAAACATAAATTGCACGAGGACAAACATCCAGACCCGGAACAATTATTTGTAGGCCATACAAATAATTGTTCCGTGCGGGATTCGAACCCGCGGCCCCCAGCGCAACAACTCATTGCGACTGCCCCACAGAGCCGTCATTATTAGTATAATTCATTTTTTTTTTGCCCTTTCTATTTTATTTGTTTGTCTATCGCTGTTTAACCTAATGATTGACTGTGAGAGAATGCCCTATGGCATTAAGTCCGCCATATGTACAACTTTGTGCATGAAATTTTAAATAAATATTAAAAGAAATTTTTACCATGAAACTGTGAATAATACTCATAACAGACAAACAAACCCAATCAAATAATAAACAAGGAATGAACTTTCACACAGCTTCACATGATGAATAATTCCTCATTATATGGATTCCGGAACTGGCATACCTAAAGTTTACGGCAGTGTGAAAAAGTTCACTCCATTTAGGTTCGGTGCCAAATAATTTCCGCAGACGAGACGTGGGTTACAATTATCAACACGCGAACTTGAATAGGGGAACGACGAAACGGCTAAAATTGAATTGGCACTTCAAAAACAAAGTTAACAGGTCGGCTTGAAGCACCATTTATTGCATTTTAACTACATTAATTAATCAAAACTCGATTTTGTTGGTCCTTTAGATATTTTGTAGAAGCGTTGAGATATAGAGTTGGGAATTACGGAATTAGTGTGAATCTAGTTGATAGCAATAGTATTATAGTTATAACAAATCTTACTAGAATCAAAGAATATATTATGCAACTAGCTGGCCAGGCAGACATTGTTCTGCCCTTTCCGACGACCCTTCCTATGAAAAAATTCTAAAAGGAAAGGGAAACTGTACACAGTGTGCAAAATTTCATTGAAATCAGTTCTGTAGTTTAGGAGTTCATCGCGGACAAACAACGTGACACGTAATTTTTATATATAAAGATTATAATTACAATATTACGCCACCGACCGCTACTGAATGCCAGATAAAAAATATTTTTTGAAGATAATTTATTTAAGATCTACTTAAATTCAAATTTTTAGATAAATACATTCCGACACGTTGATAATTAATGTGTTTAAATTCTAATTAATGTTCTGATGAACTAATTAGTTTATGCAACGTGATTAAGGTTTAGTAACTGCTTCCGTGCTACTGCCCTATTAATTTTACATTTAAATATATATATTTCTATATTTTATTTTTGTTTAAAAACGTTACCCCCACACCAAGATTTTCTTCTGTGTCGTGGAGGCAGTTTACATACATGAATTGCACGAGGACAAACATCCAGACTATTTTTTAAATATATATAAAAATAAAACTGCTAATTTCAAAATATTTTTCTTCTTAACTTCACAATCCGTATTGTATCCGTATAGGCCTTATATATATACTTAAGATCTGATGGACTTGACCTTGCTATATAAAATTCTTGCTTTTACGTAGATGCAAAATATGTTTTTCTTATAATATTAAAATTCACTTTTACTGAGGAGCTTCTAAATCAGCACTTAATTCCACTTAATAATTATGGCAGTGTTGTTATCGGCACTGACTTACGTTTTTATCGTAGTAGAGCCATTCACGTGGAAGAGCCACGCTGCATGTATATTATTTATGTAGCACAAATGTGTCGGCCCGACCGGGGAAGCACCACGCTCTCACAGAATACCAGCGTAAAATAGCAACTTAGTGCTGCTGTGTTTTGTATCGCGATTCTATTTTAGTTCTCAAGGGTGACAACATATCTAAGTTTAGATTCTTAATTGAGGATAGATTATACGTTATTTCGGGCAAACGTACTTTATACTTTATTTTACCCAATTCGATTTTTTTAAACTGTAATTGTTTAATAAGAGAACGAGTCAAAATAATACACAACGACCTGACGAAAGACTGAGTTATATATTATATACTTCACAAAAGTGCCATTTTTTTAAAAGTAGTAATGATTTTGTTTACATACGTGTAATTTTTGCTAGCTTGCTGCGATATTAGAGACGAAACGTAAAGAACAAAGTAAACTTAGACATAGAAAGTAAAGGTTGTTCACCAACAAGTATTTGGATTTTGCTAAAAGTAACAATAACTATTATGTGGCAAAAATATTAAGTCAAATAAATAATATTTTATTTTCACATGTTGTAATTTACATTATATGTTTAGAAAACTAAATATACACCACCTCTTTACTAAGAATATGTTGTCCTTGTAATATATTAAAATATTCGCAAAAACAATTGTATAAATGCTTTTACCTTGTATATGAAACTTGGAGCGTATATCGAAGCTGGCTGAATCGTTGAGTGCAAAAGTGAATGGGGGTCCGTTTTCTGTGGAATCGTAGTCTTTTGCGGTGAGAACTACAACCTGTCCAGGCGGTTCGTTCTCGTACCAAATCACTGGTTGAGTCTGTAAATAAACGATGAGCAGTTACTGACAACAGATTGACACATTAAAATTTACTTCATCTTCATCATTATCATTATCATTGCAGTCTATTACATGCCTTACAAGCATCACAAGCCCACAGCACGCTTGGCAGATGGGTTGGCAAATGGCAACTACAGTTCTTCTATTGATTGTTTCAAGAAAACGTTGCTGGTAATTTTCTAAGAAAGCATAGAGGATTATAAGATTGTAAGACAATGTCCTGGCTGATTCTGGCCGACCTGGCTTACTTTCGATAACTATCGAGAGATATTAGCGCAGGATACCTTAGTACCTAGCTAATCCGCAAGTTAAACGCTAAACTAACGTTTATGTGACAAAAAAAACAGTCCCGAAAAACAACAATATTTGTATGAGATAAATATTGCTTTGGTTTGGTGTTTTAATGTAGGGCTGATGATTTTTGTAGTAAATATAAGACAGACAAGTAGATAAAAATGTTGCACTTTTTCTACGTATTTTATAACAACAGATTCTTTATTAATTCAACCTTTTCATAACTTCGGTGTAAAAGTTGTTTCTGAAGTATTCGACAAAGATAGCGCCTATATAAATAAAAAAAAAGTATTTTAATTCTATAAACATAAATACACTACAGTAAAATAATAAAAAATAATAAAACTACAGTAAAAGTAAATGGTGGCGTAAGAATATCCACTACCCCATATCATCCCGTGGGTGTCGTAAGAGGCGATAGAGGTAAATTGAAACAGGATATGGGCAGCACCATCTTCCTGATAACAAATCAATAATAAAAAGCTGCGGTTGCCAGTCCGCCGGCCAAGCGTGGCAACTGTGGCAGATGTCTCTCCTGTGGGGCAATCTATAGAGGAGACCTATGTACAGCAGTGAACCTTTAATAGGCTTTAATTAATGTAATAATCCAAGTAAAAAAAAAATGCCTAGCAGTGGATAAAAATGATAAAAATACTACAATATACATAGTATATAAAATACACACAGTATATTATGATAGAGACGTTACTGTACCAACAATTATATAAAAACATCGAATATAATTTATGTTACTAATTTTAATGCGTTTAATTGACTTTATCGCGTTTAATTTATTTTATATTTCCAGCGTTTGGACGCCTTTATACAAAATTAGAAATTGAGCACGATATCAGGTTACGATAAAAATTAACAACTGTTTCGTAAATTAAATTTTTGTTACTAATTATTTAAGCCATTAATTAATAAGTTGTTGAATTATATGTAGCGAAACGATTCAGATTTTCTTCCGAGTAAATTATTTAAAACTTAATTTAAAAAAAAATAAGTAACAGGCTATATTATGTCCAACAGCTGAGTATTGGCATCGTCTCTTTTCTAAAAAGGTTTTTGGCGCAAAATTCTACCGTCTTGACCCAAAACATGTTGGCGGACTTCACGTGCTCTCCAATATTTTGTCTTTAGACACATGGTAAATCAGCAGTTAAAATTGTAACTAACAATTTCATTGGTGCCGGCGGAGATCAAACGAGATTTTCCCGCGTAGCGTACCTCCTACTAATTATAAAGGCGAGCGCTTATCCCCATTGCCAGTGCCAGGACCGTAGCCCAAAAAACATAAAGTTCTTTAAAAAGTTCAGAAGGGAAGAGAAATATACCATAGATAAGATCAAACATAGATAAGATTAAAAAAAATATTATGAATTGTAATGTCAGAATGTAATTATTAAAGTAACATAAACTTACGCACACCAGTATATTTTAAGTCTATGTAAAATTATTAACAAAACCCAATGCAACAAAAGGTCTATTAAATATTAAGATATGAGATTGTTATTGGGGTGCAAACACTGAAATATTTATATAGTTGACTGCTCCGTTGCGTAGTGGCTTAGCAATGAGTTGCAACGCTTGGAGCCGCGGGTTCGAATCCCGCACGGAGCAAGTATTTGTATGGCCTACAAATAATTGTTCCGGGTCTGAATGTTTGTCATTGTGCAATATATGTTTGTAAATTGCCTCCACGATACAGGAGAAAATCCTAGTGTTGGGGTAACGTTTATTTTTTTATTTTGAAACAAATAATTTGTAACTGTGTCAAATATAGATATATACGTAAATTCCGTTCGAAAATCATTATTCTGTGTAATAATTTTTTTTTAAATTAAATAACTTTAAAATTGAATTTAAACGCAGAGGGATCATAAACCAAGTACACAGACATATAGGTACATATTAAGGTCAATTTACATAATAAATCCACGGCTCCATTCGGTCTTGTAACTGAATTACAAATTTATTACACGCACTAATACGTTAAAAGAAGGATAAAGAAATTAATAGCGAAACATGTCACTGCGAAAACTCTCTAATAAGAGTAAATCTGGAGATCTTCCAAACTTTTCTTGCTTTTATGTAAGCTTATGAACATCGGATAAGTGAGTTACGTACGTATAAGATATTCTTGTTAGATAAAAGAAAATCCTTATAACATTTGCAGGAGCGCCACGTTTTGACCAAATTAACTGTCACAATTGGTCACTACTAATGTCGTCCGACAGACCGACTTAGAATCTTTCGCCATTCCCCGCACCGACCAGTTTTACCGGCGGTAAAATGTAGTAATTTTATTATCTTTGGCTACAACAGCAATGCAATGTCTACCATGACATGATTGATGATTTGTCGTGTGTACTTAGAGAGGTATACGACAATTTTTCAATTTAAACAATATCTTCCAGAGTCATGTGTTTTTATTTAAAAAAATAAGATTAAAAGTTTGTGAGTAAATAAGGTATAGAGAAGACCAATTCGCTCATCAATAATTGCAAAATGTTGAGCAAGTGGTATAAGAAACTACAAAAACCATAGTTCGGTGCGCAGAGTGGTCTAAAATAGGAGAATTTCAACAAAAGAGAGTATGAGATGAAAACGGGTGACAGTTTTGGGACAAAACGTCATTCTCCAAAAAGTTGTACGGACAACAGCCATGTTTTCATTGTAACGATTTACGTGACAATAACCGAGTGTGCAATATGAATTGAGAAGAGCTTTTAAGACGACGTAGCAATATTTTAAACTTCTTTTAACCTCTGTAAATCTACTGAAACGAAAAAATATTTTATTTAAAAAAAACTGAATATTCGATTATACAAGGAAGATACAAAATAATAAAGTTGACACTAAATCGCTATTTAAACGTGTGTGAACTTCCGTTAGAGTTAAAGATTCCGTTATGAAATCCTGTAAAAGTTATATCAAATGAAAAAGATAATTATTTTTAGGTCATGTTGGGAACACATTTTAAAACAACTGAAATTTTAAAAAGTATATATGTATGTATGTATTAAACATTTTAAATATGTATACCAGTTTTTTATCATATTTTGACATTATCATTGTGGGTTATGTTCAATATTTTAAGTCGGGAAAGTTCGTTTAAAATCAATTACTAAATTCGAGCGAGATAATAAAAAAAGGTTATAAAATATTTTTTCCAAAAAAACAAAATAAGCGTTCACCTCCTATTTGCGGTGAGCGAGTTAAAATTTTCATACCTAACATATCTTTACTATTTCCTTACCTTGACATTAATATTTCACAGAAATATACAATGAAACCTTTCGCAAGGTTAAAGGTGAAATTGAAACTGGCCACACAATTTATATTTTTCCGTACTTGTTCTCATCCTTCATACGTAACCGATATAATCAAATCAAATCATACAATACTATAAATAGATCACGACGGAAACCTGACAAAGTGAATCAATTAAGGTAAGGAAAATACTTCTATCGAAGCTCGCAAACAATAGCAACTACGCAACTAAAACTTCTGTTCGTGTGTATGGGACTGCACTCCTTTTATACGTCTAGACCAACTTTGATGAAAATTTGTGTATGTGATTAAGTTGATTCGGAAATGGTTTAGATTCACAATTGGAACCGATAGGTAGCGTTGTTGTCGAGAACCAGAAATCACCCGTGCGAAGCCGGGACGGATCGCTAGTTTTTTTTTTATAGGGTAGGGTGACAAACAAGCACACAGTCCACCTGATGGTAAGTGGTTGCTGTGGCCCATAGAGATCTACATCTATCCTCGTTTGCGAATCAAAATGCAGATGCGTTGTCACCCGTGATGACTAAGATAGAATGCCTCTTTTCCAGCAAAACGGGTATCCGGTTCTCTACACTCAACATACGAAACACAGCAGTGTTAAGCTGTTATTTTACGCTGGTATTCTGTGAAAGCGTTGTCCTTCCCCGGTCGAGCCGACCCATTCGTGCTACGACTATACTACTAATATAGCTGCAGCATGGCTCTACTACGTGTGAAATAAAAGGTGTAATATAAAAAGGCCATCTCTGATATCTTTATGAGTTAACTATCAACATAAATTTTCTCATTACCTAACCTATTCATTTTCTTTTTAAGATCTTGAATACTTCCTATGATACTTACCTTAAGTGCTTTGTACTTAGGTATTAGGTAAAAAAAACTGCAATATTTTCTTCACTTAATGTTAACTGTATAACCTCTAACTTTATTGTTTACGGATATTGTGTTTGTGTATAGTCCACTTTACCTTACTCCTTAGAACCGGAATAACTTTCGAACGACATTCATTTTACGGACGCCTTAACTTTGAAAAGAGGAAAACATTTGAAGGGAATTGTTAATACAGCGATGTTACGAGAGTTGAAAGAGTTGTAGAAAGCTAGTAGTTACGTTGTCGTTAGGTATGGAAATAGCAGAGGCGTTTAAACTTCTTCAGCATTTTGAAATAAAAAACGATACTGCTACGAGATTTTTTTTATAACGCTAAGAATGAAGAACGAAACACCCCAGTCAACCTGATGGTAATAGCATGCAGTAGCCCAGTAGACGCAGTAGCCCAGAAAACGCAGTAGGATAGATATAGAAGTCAATATATTTGTATCTATGCTCGATTTAGAATAAAAATGCAAATATTTTTTACGTGGTAGACGCTACGCTGCAGCTATATT